ACCTGATAAAGAGATTGCTGCTATGGGAAAAGATTGGGTAGTTGACAATATTGGAGTCACTAGTGAGCTGTTGGGAGTCTCTTCAAAAGGTAAAGATGATCAGACATTATCCATCCTCCAAGCAATTGCGGAAGGGAGAGAGGTTGCACTGACCAATGAAGTTACGAACACGAGGCCCTTATCGTCCTGGAAAGGGGCACATGAGATAAAGAATCTCATCTCTGAAATCAACTACGAAGGGAAGAAAGGAGTGGTGAAGGAAAGGGGAAGGACCAAGAGTAGGAGTGCTGGGAAAGGAGGAGGGGAGATAATTTTATCTGGTTTTTAATGAAGCTACGAATCATTACATGGAATGTTCGTGGTCTCAATGATCCGAACAAGAGGAGGGTGGTGAAGGTAGCTTTAAGGAAGTGGGGTACTCAGGTTGTTTGTTTACAAGAAACTAAGTTGGCGTCAATTTCCGACGGGGTGGTTAGGAGTTTCTGGGGAGGAAGGCTTGTTGAATGGGAGGCCTTGAATGCTATAGGTACTTCGGGTGGGATCTTAGTCATGTGGGACAGAAGATGGTTATCCAGAACGGACGTGTGGCAGGGGAGATTTTCGGTGTCTTGTGCGTTTAAGATGGAAGAGGACAATTTTAGATGGGTTTTTACTGGAGTCTATGGACCGGTTGTTGATGATGAGCGACCTTCTTTCTAGGGAGGAGCTTAGCCATGCCCAAGATCTGTGGTCTCTCCCTTGGTGCTTGGGAGGGGATTTCAACTCTGTCAGGTCCCCGTCAGAGAGGTCAACAGGGGGAAGAAGGTCCTTGGAAATGGACCACTTTTCTGATTTTATTGATGAGCATCTTCTTGTTGACTTACCTATGGAGGGTGCAGCCCATACTTGGTCAAGTGGTAGGGGGATCCTATCACTCTTTTAAGACTGGACAGATTTTTAATTTCCGGGGAGTGGGAAAGAAATTTCCGGATGTCATTCAGGCGGTATTAGCAAGGGTCACTTCTGATCATGTTCCCTTGGTTTTGGATTGTAGAGATTTGTGTTCTCGAAAATCCCCGTTTAGATTTGAGAATATGTGGCTGCGAGCGGAGGATTTCCAAAGGAAGGTCAGATCTTGGTGGGGGGAGTTATTGTTTCAGGTTCGCATAGTTTCACGATAACAAAGAAGTTAAGAGCTCTCAAATTTGTTCTTTAGCAGTGGAACAAGGATGCTTTTGGGAATCTGAAATGGAGGAAGAACAGAGTCCTTACTGAATTTTCTGAGATTGATCGTCTTGAGGAGGCGGGAGGGGATGTGGAGTCTCTTCATTCTAGGAGAGCTTCTTGTCAGGCTGTTCTTGCTGAGATTGCTAGCATGGAGGAAATTTCGTGGCGACAAAAATCCCAGGCTCTTTGGCTAAAAGGAGGACATCGGAACACAAAATTCTTCCACAGATTAGCTAATGCTCATAGGAGGAGTAATCATATAGGAAGACTTCGGGTGGAAGGTGTGGAGTTGTGGAGGGAGGAAGAGGTGCACAGTGGGATTGTTTCTTTTTACCATAAGCTTTATACAGAGCCATTAGTTTGGAGGCCCAAACTTGATGGTCTCCATTTTGAGGCTATTTCTGAGCTAGATAGTGATAGGATTGAGAATCCTTTTACTGAAGAAGAAGTTCTAAAGGCTTTATCAAGCTGTAATGGGGACAAAGCTCCGGGACCTGACGGTTTTATTATGCGTTTTCTGATGGAAAGCTGGGCGGTAGTAAGAAATGAGGTAATGGGTACTTTTCAGCAGTTCCATTCTACTGGCGTCTTTGAGAAGTCGCTTAATGCTTTATTCATCGCCCTTATTCCTAAGAAGGGCGGCGCTTCTGATATCAAGGACTTCCGACCTAGTAGCCTAGTAGGATGCATTTATAAGTTAATAGCCAAGGTTCTTGCCTCTAGGATGAGGGACACTATGGATGGAATTATTTCGAAGTCACATAATGCTTTTGTCAGAGGTCGGCAGATCCTTGATTCTGCTCTTATAGCAGGCGAATGCGTGGATTCTAGATTGAGGAGTGGTATCCCCGGTGTATTATGCAAATTTGATGTTGAGAAAGCCTATGATCATGTTAATTGGAGTTTCCTTCTTTACTTGCTTCAGAGGATGGGGTTTGGAAGTAAATGGAGGAAATGGATTGAGACATGTGTTTCGTCTGTCAAGTTCTCTGTTCTTGTGAATGGGTCTCCTGCCGGTTTCTTTGGGAGTTCGCGAGGACTGAGACAAGGAGATCTTTTGTCTTCTTTTCTTTTCCTCATTGTCATGGAAGGCTTGAGTAGACTTATGAGGAGAGCAGTAGGTCTGGGTTTCATCAGGGGATTCAGAGTGGGGCATAGATTTAGCTCATCAGATGGAGATTTCTCATTTGCTGTTTGCAGACGATACTCTAGTTTTCTGTGATGCTGAAGTGTCTCAACTCAGGTATTTGAGGTGCATTCTCGTTTGTTTTCAGGCAGTTTCTGGGTTGAAGGTCAACATTGGCAAGAGTGTACTTGTTCCGGTCAGGGATGTTCTGGATATTTCCTCCTTAGCTGCAGTTCTTGGGTGTGGGGTGGGTTCTCTTCCCATTCCTATCTAGGATTGCCCTTGGGGGCCTCATCTAGGAAGGTGGGGAGTTGGGATCCTGTGACTGAAATGATCGATAAAAGGTTAGCTGGGTGGAAAAAACAATACCTTTAAAAAGGGGGGAAGGTCACTCTTATCAAGAGCACCCTCTCGAGCCTTCCTACTTACTTCTTATCCTTGTTCCAAATCCCATGCTCTGTTGCAGAAAGGATTGAAAAGATTCAAAGGGATTTTCATTGGGGCAGAAGGGGTGAGGAGTTCAAGTATCACCTTGTCAAATGGGAGCAAGTCTACAAGCCCATGAGGTTAGGCGGCCTTGGAATTCGAAGATTGATTCCCTTCAATAGAGCTCTTTTGGGGGAGTGGTTGTGGAGATTTGGCAACGAACGTCATCGCCAGTGGAGGAGGAAATTATTTCATGTCGTTTTGGGGAGGAGAGTGGTGGTTGGACTTCTTGCCCAGTCTCTACGGTGGGAGGGATTGGAGTGTGGAAATTCATTTGGAAGGGCTGGGAGGTTTTCTCTTCTCATATCAAGTTCAAAGTTCATGATGGTAGATGTGTCCGCTTCTAGGAGGACTTATGGTGTGGTGATCAGTTGTTGTCTCACTCCTTTCCCAGACTTTATAGCATCGCCGCCGATAGACACGCCTATGTAGTTGACTATTATCGACTTGATAATAGTGGGATTACGTGGAACGTGCGCTTTAGGCGTTTTTTTAAGGATTGGGAGTTGGATGAGGTTTGCGCTCTTTTGGAGATGTTGTATAAGCAGGAGGCAATCGGCAGTGGTAGTGATACTCTTTTGTGGGTTCCTTCCACCAAGGGTATTTTTGATGTCCGATCCATGTTTCTATGCCTGTCCGACTTCGCTGGTCCTGTTTTCCCATGGGAGACTATATGGCGCTCTAAGGCTCCTCTTAGAACGGCATTCTTTGTATGGACAACTATTTAGGGTAAGATTTTGACTTTGGACAATCTGAAGAAGAGAGGCAATACTATTGTTAATTGGTGTTGTCTTTGCAAAAGCGACGGCGAATCTGTGGATCATATCCTTTTGCACTGCCCTGTGGCGCAAGACTGTTGGAACCTTATCCTTGGCCTTTTTCGCATGTGTTGGGTTATGCCTTAGTCCTCCAAGGGTCTGATTAGCGCGTGGAGAGGATGCCACGTGAGAAGTCACGTCAAATATTATTGGAGGATAGTTCCACACTGCGTTTGGTGGGGTATATGGAAAGAGAGGAATAACAGAATGTTCGAAGGCAAAGAATCGCCTTTAGCTACGCTGAAACTTCTTATTATTCCTTCTATCTTTTGTTATGTAAAAGGGAGATCTAGTTCCTCCCCTGATGATTTAGTCGATTTCTTGGACTCATTGGGTCCTTAGGCATCGTTTCTGTTTTTGTACTCAGACCTCGTTCCCCTTTTTAACGCTTTTTATTAATTATTACTTATATAAAAAAAAACATTTACTCAGAAAAGAAGCATTTATGAAAGAAAAAAAATCTAATCCAAAACGTCACCATGCAATATAACACTTTAGTCTTAACTCTGAAATTGTTTGTTATAATTTTTTTCTAAGAAAATGTCGTATTTAGTAATAATATAGTCACATATTATTTTAAAATGATACATAAATATTAGAATAAAAATATAATATTTTTGTACATGTCAACATTAATATAATATATGTCGTCATGTGACGTATCCATATCCTATTTTTTAACAACTTGTAGTATCGTGTTGTTTCCATGTCCCACCTCCATGTCCATGTTTCATAACTACACAGAAACTCCCAATTTGTTGATCCTTTAGCATGCAACACCCATTTACCAACCTCCATTAAAATAATTCATCTTACCCCCAAGGTAGAGAAGAATAATATTATACATGTCCATATAGAGTCTTGTGTCCCACGTTTTGATGGAAGAAAAATCTCAAAACTAAACACATGCATGCATCTGCTGCACATACCAAGGTCCAAGTAACATAACTAGTAGAAAATGTGAGAATTTAAGTGCATATAAAGGTCATGGGCTACAAGGATAGCAAAAATGAATCAAATGACTAGAAAGTCATGGAGTTATTCCCAAATTGATCACAGGCAACAGTTCATCAAGAATTGTGCAATTCAGGAGATTCAAAATCCAATGCTCCCAAGCAAGTTAAAACATACCGCTCCCAAATTTATTTATATTCTGAGAACTGGCCCCTCCCTCAATGACAACATCTTAATTTAATTTAGTTCAGAGAACCTAGAAATCCTCTCACTCACCCACAATAGTTGCACAGATGCAAAATAGATTATCCAGAAGAGGAAAAATACCAGGAAAATGGAAGATGATTGATGTCAATTACTACTTTACAAGCAGCTATAATGTAATTAAATCAAATTACAGAGAGCTCTACCTGTAAGAATTTTAGCATTTGTTCTTCAACAGTACCACGCATAGCCAAAGTTTCCACGTAAATGGGACGAGTGGCACCCATTCGGTGTGCGCGACTAATCACTTGTTCCTCCATGCTAATATGAGTTCAAGAAACAAAATTAGTTAACACCAATTTATAAAAATAATAAATAAAATAAAAAAAAAAATAAAAAATAAAAAAAAAAACAACAACAATAATAATATTAAGATGTGTCTGCAGCCTACTATTTAAGTTGAAGAAAATGCTTAGAAACACATGTATTTGACAGCACAAATAGTTCACAGCAGCAACTATAATGGTGAAACAGCACTACCAATCAGTCCCTTCTACTAGCAAAAGCAAGAAAAACATAAAGAAGGAAATAGTAGGCATATCCTTGGTCAAAGAACTAAAAAGTATTAAACTAATTCACAAGATTTTCTCCGATATATCCATGATTTCAACTTTCAAGGCAAAGTAACTTCTGATTTATCTATTACCTCCTGTCCCAGATTGGTTCCATTAGAAAAACATGTGTTACAAAGCTCAAATCAAGACCTAATGCTGCACTTCCATCCATCAGAAGGGCCATACAACTTGCATCGTGCTGGAAGGTTGCCAGTGACTTCATCTGAATCAAGTGAAAGTGAATTACCACTATTACATTGAACTAGCTTAAAGCCTTAAAGTAATAAAAATAATTATAGTAAACAAGATTCTACCTTGTTGGAAGAATGCATTGGACTATACATTCCAGCAAAGTTGATACCAGCAACCGTTAACTGGAGAGAGGGGGCAAAAAAAGTGGAGCATGAACTTTATGGCTCACTATGTATGGGGAAAATAATATTCAGCCACCCTAGTCTAAGGTAAATCAGAGCTACCTGCTGTTCAATGACATGTATATGCTCGAGAAACTGAGAAAATATCAGAACTTTCTCTAAAGGTGTCCTGAAAGATTCATTGCTTGGTTTGAAGCAAGCATCCTGAAGTAAAAAAGAGTTGAAATCACTTTTCTGAGAGGAGAAAAGCAGCTCATCAATATGTTTGACATCATTGCCCTCATCTATGGAGTATCCAATTGTTCTATTAGCTTCTTGCAATTCTTTCAACCTTTGAACAAGATAAGAGACCTTGCTGCTAGATGTTGATTGCCAATCAGGATCCCAGTCATCCTACCAAAAAAACAAGTAAAACCATTTAGATATGTGATGGAGAACACAATTGACTATAAACAATACAACTAAGTAGAAACTTAGAACTCAGCCTGCCTGTTTATATGATGGCTGTAATTCTATGAGATCTTTAGGGACAGGCCACTTTGGGTTGGGATTTTCTGGACGGGTTAATATCTCAGGACTCTGCATCTCATACAAATTACCACAGCCAGGAAATGTACATTTTTTACTGTCCAAAGCAACACAGTCGAGGCATAATAGATGCCTACATGGTGTAATGACAGGTAACCGGCACCATTCTTTGCACCTAAAAGTAGAAAAGCAATCAGTAATGAGATTATAATCCAACAGACCCAAAACCACATGCCAAGAACCTCAAAACACAAATCATACCTCATACAATTGCCGCCATATAGAAGGTTATACTTTATAAATGCATACTCTTCCGATTTAGGATCCAGACCATCTTCAACTAAAATATCCATTGTTTCCTGAATATCTTGTCCAGCATCTGTTACTTTTATATGTCCAGCCACACAGCAAGATAACCTGACATTTCTAATAAGAGTACTTCTGAACTTCCATTGCTTTGGGTTTAGTAAACTTTCAACATGAGAAGGATCATTCCAGTCAGCCATTAATATATTACGGCGCACTGTAACTACCAATTCGTTGTAACTTCTTGCATGTTCTTCAGTAAAATCAAGAAATGTCACTTTTTTTACGCAAGGAGGAATTGTCTGCAAATCTATTTTTCTTGCACTAATCATGCACCTGTGAAGTACCTGCAACAATCGTGACCTACCCTCTTCCATTTCTGCTTCAAATGGTCTAAGAATACCAGCTTCCCATGACTTCTGGTTCTGCCCATAGGCTTCCTCATGAAGGAATTTAAGCATGGGCTGAAGATGAGACAGGTGACTGTTTGGAGTATTGGGAGTTGGTGTTCCTGTTAATAACCAACGACTCGAAGCTGTCAATGAAATAGCCATTTGCAATTTGTTTGTCAAGTTAAGACTTGAACCAAGGGTGTGCCCTTCATCTAACACAACTCTGAGCCAATGAACTTGCATCAACACACTTCTGCTACGAGGGCTCCATTCAGCACTTAAACGATTAAAGGTAGTTATAACAACATCAAAGTCCCATGCAAGATTATGTGCACGAGGCTTTTTATGATCAGTCCATACAAAAACACGCAATTGTCCAGGTCTGACATGCTTCTGAATCTGGGTTTTCCAGTGATCCACTAAATTTGATGGAACAACAATTAGTGTTGCACTTGACAAATACAACCTCAATGAATCCAACGGCTCACATAGAGAAATTCTGAGGGCAGCTAAATCAAAGACCAAGTTGTCAAGAGTTCTTGGGTAGTACCACCTAATAGTACCCTTTTCTACCCTCTTTATAAGACCAAATGCTTGAAATATTTTATGGAACTCATGATCATCTCCATGACATACCACTCGAGTGTCCAAGACAGGATGTACCAAACCAATTGTTTCCATTTCACAAAGTTTGCGAGGGGAAAGTTTAGCCAACCAAGTTAAGGCCTTCTTTGTTTCAGAATTTATCAATGCATAGTGCTCCTTAAGGACGGTAGTGAAAAACGATACATTTTCTTTCTTTCCTCCAGAAGTTCTCTTGGTGTGAAATCCTGGTAAATATGTGATGGGCTGGCGATAATCCCAAGATTCTTCTGGAACACCACAACTCTGATGTAACGGGTCACTGTTCATACTGCAAAACCATGCTATGGTAGTATCTGCTATACTTTTGTCTGTAAGCTTCCGCCACTTGCGACAGGCATCACACTGTACCCAAGTTTCATTGTATATAGAATGATCTGCAGTAGCATTTCTAGGCCTCTTGCTACCGTAAACTGATCCACATGACATATCAACTCGCTTGTCCAGAGAGTCATGTCTTGAGCCAATTGAATCATGCTTTCTTTTACTGGAATTTTTCCTAACCTTCCTTTCCTTGGAAAATCCAGATGCTCCTTCATATGTCTGAAGAAGATTTTTCTTAACATGACTCAGGCTTCTGGTACATCGAACTACACGTGTTGCTGGCATCGAGCGTGCAGCTGTCGGTGTTTTAATTCCGTTTATAGAACATGAATCAGTAAGTCCTTTAAATTGCTCAACACAATCCATATGCCTGGCACTTAACCGTGTGCAATTTAAGTTCTCCCTAGGAGTAAGTTTATCTAAAGATAACTGCCCCCTCCTCGCCTTCTGACCCACAACCCTCTTGCCCGATAACATGCTATTACTGGTGGCATTATTACCGCTAAGTTCATAATAGCCACATCTCTGATCAGCATTATGCATACACCAGATCACTTGCACTCCGTCTGGGGGATCTGCTAGTGTTCCTTGTGTCTTCAGAATAAGGGAAAGGGCAGTTATAGTTTTACCCAAGCCAGGTTCGTCACAAAACATTCCCCCGCGAAAATCTCTAATTATGGGAATTGTCCCTGTGAGTACTTCGCCAGAAACAGTATTTATATAAAAAGGAAACCCATCTTCAGTTAAGAAATCCATGTACAAAGGATGTGGCAAGACTTCAGAATCCCTTTCTCGCCGCAACATCCACTCAACTGCTGCCTGCTGATGAGGAAAAAGTTTGAGTTTCATGCATGGCATGATTGATACTGCCAAGGATCTTAGATGGTGACAGGTTGCAGAAACTCTGACAAGGTCAATAGGTCCTAGTACATTTAGAATATTAATCAAAACATCATCTGACAGCTCCCAAATACCGGATCTACAAGAGGCATCTACAGGGTTTACTTTCGAAGAATTAAGATTTCCCTTCTTTGTCACACTAGGTAAATTCTTAAAAATTTCATGAAGTTCAAAAAGCTTTTTCTTAGTAGTGTCAGGAACACTGCAATGCAGTTTACATCCAAGAACATGACAATCAGAAAGATTCCAAATATTTTCACTCTCTCCATGATGAGGTTTGAAACACTTCTCATCATCCACAATCATTAGACTTCTCTCTCCCCAGTCACAACTGCAGAGGAGTTTATAAACAGTGTTAGAGAATATAGATGAGGTAATCAAAATAAAATTTCAAGTGACAGGTGAAATTTTTTCTTAAGTAAAAAAAAAAAAAGGTGGTATACTGTGCCCACACAATCAAAAGCCTTACTAAAAGTAAGAGGTTATAAATATGAAGCAAACCAGACCTAGTAAGGGTGTCATCTTGCTGCAGCATCAGTGAAACGTGTCTTATTGGCATTATGAAAAATATAACCAGATGCGAATTTCGAACTCTGGAATGGAAGTGTACAACATGTGGTCCAAAAGGCCAATCATTAAGGATGTGTGTTACTTGGATTGAAAGCAAGTCTAGGACTTTTCATGAGGTGCAATCCAAAGAAAAGGATCTTCAGGCTAGGATTCCATTTTATCCTTTTTATGAATATCATTACGAACTAGATGGGTCTGCAAGCTGAGCACATGTCCCTCACCTCATGACACTTTTTCTAATCAGACATTCAATTCTCAATATCTTTTCACAGCTAACATTTCATTACAAATTTATCTCACTTCGCCAAGTGCCATCTTTTATTACAAAGACTTACCAAAACGGTGTTGATGTAATATAAAAGCATAGAAGCTTTTCAAAGGATGCCACATAGTATAACCACAAGTGAGTGAAGTTTTATGACTTCTTTTCAGAGTAGTGTTGTTTTAGCTTTTTGCAAGCCTCTGCCTACAGGCAGAATTAAATTTAATATCAATAATATTGTCTTGTCAATCTGAGATCAGAAAACCTTCAAAAAAAAAATTAACAGTCAGGCTCCAAGTTTGCTAGTGAAAGCCTTAGAGAAGCCTCTACTGTGGGTATTTGACATTGCTAGATTGAAAATAATGTAGAGGTCATAATGGACTGGGTGAGATCTTAAATCTTGGCCTCCGGGTGTATGGTCATTTATGAGAGAGATTCTAGACAGATCAGTGTTTTAGAAGGAAGATTAAATGAATTCATAAATCCAACAATAAACAAATTGAATTTAAGGCCTAGAAAACAGCTTCGCTATAACCTCAGTTAGGTGTCACTTTTAGCCCCCTCTATCTACAAATGTGGTCAGGGAGTGGATTAAACGGTCAGGTTTGTATAGGCTATAAAGGTAGTTCATGCTGTTGCTCACATGTGTGCTCAGCCTTTCTTCGAGTCAAGGATTTCCTCATCCTTTTTTATATTTGTACTCTTCTTTTCATTAAAAATGTATTTTTCTATATAAAAGAAAAGCAATTTCTAGGCTTAATGAAAAATATATTGATTTCTAGAAGCTCTGTTACTGAGTTCTCTTGGATGTATGTCTGCTATACTATAAAAAACAACTGGTTTTTAGACCATGTGATGGCATTCTCACCTTGCCCAGCCCATTACAAATTGACATATTTGTATTTTTTGTAGGACAGCCATTATTACACTTATGCTTACATTTTGAGAAACATGTCAATAACAAAACAATCCATATGCACCTCTCCAACTCACCCATCCCACTCAATCCTATGTCTAAAAGCCTCTTAGATCTCTTCTTCTCTTGAATGCTTAAAACAATATGAAGAAAAGAAAAAAAAGAAGATAAAATCACTATATGTATCATGCCTATCAATCTTCGTTACATCTTTACGTTTGATGGTGCTCACTAGCAATTAACCAGACCTTGATCTTGAACCCAGAAACCAGTCATTAGCAAATAACATATGCCACAAAGCAAACACAAACCGTAGTAAGACCATAATAACTGAAAATTCAATCAGACCTAGATTCTTCTCAAGTTACCCATATGATGTAAGCCTTTAGGAGCAGCTTCAAATAGCTGAAAATTTAAGAGTGAAATGGCTGAAGATTCAAATAATCAGGGCTGGAGTTTGAGGTTTGATAGTAGCTAGGAAGCACGGATACTTCTACATGTTGGATACCGATACTCACGGATACGTATCCAATACTTCTTAAACGAATGCATAATTTTAAAATATATTTTTTAATTTCTCTATGTGTCTCACGATACTTCTTAAACATATCCACAATTTTAAAATATATTTTTTAATTTCTAACACTTATCCAATACTTAGAGAGAGATAGCAAAGACGTTTCACATATTTCTATATATATATATATATATATAACTATGGTATCATTGTAATTTTATGAATCTCAAAAGGCTATTAACAAATTTTAAGTCAAGGGAATGGCAAATCTGTAATAACATCGTAGAGCGCGCACACCAAACCTGAGGGGAGGATGGTTTAATGAGGCCCATTATTGCCAAGGGTTGCAATGTAATTTACCTTAGATTTTTTTTAAAAGGTAAGCTATTCCTATCTGCACCATGCGAGGTAGATACTTCGACTGCATATCCGATACTTCTCAGATATTTCAAAACACGTTTTTAATAAATTTTGAACATTAAAATATATATTTTTGTTGATAAATACTGAACATTAAAAAATAACTTTTCCAACACTAATAACGTAGTATAATTGTTAAAAAAAAGTTCAAAATTTATTAAGTGATAACTAGGGATGTTTGTTTTATGTGTTGTGAAATGAACTCCTATGTTATATTAATGATAGCATTTATATTCATAATATTACAAGAAACTGATAAAAAATGTATTTTTTTGTCGAATCCCGCCGTACCTGTATCCTGTTTTTTTTAGATTTGCCATATGTCGTGTCCGTATCGTATCATATCGTATTTGCACCCCATATCCATATACGTGCTTCCTAGGATGGTAGAGATGTAGAAAAATAAAGGAGAGAAGAAATGGAAAAAGAGAAGCCTATTGGAGTCACACCAACAAGGCTAGGCATCACAACTAGAGAAGGTATCACACCCTCATAATTTGTGAATCACTCATCAGTAAATTTAATAAGATATTTGATTATTTATTCATTCACCAATTCAACCAAGATTACACCCATCCCTTTGTATTCGAGTTACCACATAATTGAAATATAATTAATTAAACTCACAACTCTTCAAATTCTTAACTCGTGACTTAATAACTTAAATAAAAGCAAATAAAAACCAGCTTAATTGCATCATATTGTCCACCAAACTCATAAATGATGTAACTTGCCCAAAAACCCCAATTATTCAAGACTCCAAGTGGACCACACATCATATAGAATACGTCAAATTAAGACTTGAGTCTTAGAATCCTTCTTTCCACGCCTTTTATACACCTTTAAAGACTGCTGCCACTTATCTCCATCAATCCTCCCCAACTTGGGAAAGCTCAACCCCGGTGATGTAAAGGGATGAAACTGCTCATAAAGGTCAGGAGAAAGGTTCCAGACGTCCCCTCCAGTTAACAAGGAACTTTTGATAACCACCTCCTCTTCAAAATAAGCATGCACCTTTTCTTTTCCCCCTTTTCCCACAGATACCCAGTCTGATTATAGAGATGAACCAAATTTTTTAGCAAATTACTACTCAGATCATTGTAGATGATCTTGGCTTGTTTTTATATGCTCCATCCTCTTTAGAGTAATGATGGAGTGGAGAAAGAATCGTGTAATTGATATTTATCCAACTTGGACCTCTCCAATATGGTGGGTCAAGCTCTGTGCTGTATTTTATGTAGAATGAGCTTGATTTGGAAAGAGAGTGGATTCCATAGTCAGTTTATAATATGCTTTGGTTAGAAATCAGACTAAAATCCAGGATTCAGTTGCAATGTCCTCCGTATAAGTGGAAAAAGGCCAACGAGCTCTCTAGTTGCATAATTGTTGCTTTCCTTTACTGCTTGACAACTCCCAACTCTAACGAAACCAAAGTAAGCTTTATATGCATCATCAAAGTGCGTCTGATTTAGAATTTCAAAATCTAAGAGTAGTTAGGCTGTCAAATCGTACTCCTCCCCCAATTCATTTTACTTCTTGACAAGCTTTGAAATGCAATACATGCAATCTGTTGAAGGAAGCACCCAACATCTAAGTTCCAAGTGACATTCTTCATTACTAGGGTGAGATGCACATCCAACCCAAAGGACAGTGTCTTTGGGTTTAGTTCATGAGTAGTTATATTGTCACGTCCATGCCAAAAACAGCTACTAACATCCTTTCCTTCCCTAGAAGCTCTTCATATTCGTTGTTGTGTGGCCTTCTTCTTCTTTGAACGAAACAATATACTGCAAATACAGACGGAAAGCTAACACTCCAACAGCCACAACAAATCCTACAATAAAACCAGTCATGTTCTTCTTATTGGTGAAGGGTTGTTGCTATCAGTGGGAATCAAGTATGGAATGGTGCCGATTACTGAAATGGACAGTCCATATGTACCTTGACTGGGTATAGTCCTTTTTCTAGCCCAAAAGAGACAACTTTCAAAATAGTTCTCTGATGCTTGAGCCTTAAATTCCATCTGAATAGCTCGGACAGAAGTCCCACCTGGAAGAAAATCCCTACCTGCCACTTTTTTGTGAAATAGACGTACTATTTATCCAAGTTACTTTGAACAGTTGTGGAAGTGGTTGGATTGAAAGTTTCAGGAGCTCAACCGTGGCTGCAAACACAGTATTCATGTTGCTACCACCATCAATAATAAGCTTTCAAGATTGGCTTCCATAACGAACTAGCATCTGAAAAGTAGTTGGGTGGCACCGGTGCCACCAATCTTCATCTTCAACTTTAGGGGCTGTAAGGATGTGCCTCCCAACAAAGATGGATGGAATATCCTCTTCCAGATCATCAAACAAATTCTCATTACCCTCTCCTTATTCTTCTAGCTTTCTTCATCCCTCATTCTAATATGTAAATTTTTCTTGGCACATTGATACGCCATGTGACCAATTTCTCCACATTGAAGCAGTTGCAGTCCTTTCCATTTCCCTTGCTTGCCAGAGTACTCTTTCCTTTAAGATCAGCCATGTTAGAGAAAGATGTTTTGATCCTGTATTAGTTGCGTTGTTGTTCTTGTGCTGCAATTTCTATCACTGAATTTCTTAGGTGATGTCTCCCAGGTCTGATATCCAGATCTTCTAGCAAGTAGCAATTGAGTAACAAGTACTCCTCCATGTCCAATGCAACCTAAAAAGCATGTTCAACAATATACAGTGGCTGGCGAAGTAACTCTCTTCTAATATTAAACCTTAGACCAGCTTTGAATCAAGCAAGTGTTTATCGTGGGTCTTCTACAACATGACTACTACTCTTTAGCTCATCAAATTTTTGCATATATCCTGCTACTAACGCTGTAATGTTTTAGATTAATAAGCTGATCTCATAACTTGTCATGGTAATTGGCCACCGTATTTCTCTCGAAGCTTAGCCTTCATTTTTTTCCATGTCTTGATTGGTGGTTGTCCCAACCTCCTAATATCTCCTTCAACGCCAGTCCACCAAACTTTTGCTAAGCCCATAAGTTTCATCCTAGCAAATCTCACTCTACGATCATCACTCATATTATACCAATCAAAATACTCCTCGATTAAAGCAAGCCAATCAGAAACTTAAGTAGGATCAACCTTTCCTTCAAAATCTGGCACCTCCATCCTTACTTTTTCCTGAAATATCCCTCCTTGAATAATGTGGCTCACGATGTAACACTTCTAACGGATTCCTTGGAAACTCAAACATGGGATGTGTGGTGGATCAGACCTAAAATTTTGCCATTGCTAAAAGTTTGAAGGCTATTGTTGCTGCCAGTATTTGTCATCATTCATTTCCCAATCATGTGGACATGGTGTTTACTTTGCTCTGATGCCAAACTGATGTAGAACTTTAGGTAGGGCTGCCAATGAACTGAGCCGAGCCGAGCTTTACCATGCTAGGGCTCGGCTCGCCAGTGCCATGAGTGTGCTCAGGCTTGGCTCACTAGAATATCAACAAGGTCCGGCTCGGCTCGAGCTCACCTTAAAAATAATAATAAATAAAATAAAAAATTTAGAGAAAAGCTTTAGATCTGTAAGCAGCTGTTTTCAAAGAATCAAAGATGGAATCCATTGCTGCATTTCTTTCACCGACCACCGTTCTACGCATGATCCCACCAACACTAAAATGAGATTGAGACCTCATCAAAGAAAAGAAACCCAAGAAAGAGATTTGAGAGACAGAGATCTGTTGGATACCATCACCGATGAGTGAGAGGAAGATTTGTTGAAAGTTGAAAGCAATGAAAGGGATTAGAGGAGAGATGTTCTCGAGCAAGAGAGGAAGAAGGATGCTCTGTTGAAACTAAAAGTTATGTTGCGATATCTGTTGCGGCTGCATGTGGTTAGGATTTTATCACACAAATAATGAACGATACACTTATGTCATGATAGGGTAGCAAGTGAAGTTGAGTTGGGCTTAAGTTTAATCAAGTTGGGTCTATGAACATGCATATGTTTGGACTGAATATATATTATACGGGCTAAACAATTGTATAGAAAATTTTTTAAAAAATGGACATTTTACTAAACGAACCTGTTCACAAGCCTAACGAGCCGAGCTGAACATTGCTCAAGCTCAGCTCGTTTACTAAACGAGCCTTAAAAAATGTGTTCAAGCTCGGCTCGTTTACTAAACGAACAAGCCTGAGCCGAGCTTTTAATGAGCTGAGCCCGAGTTGTTCATGAACAACTTGGTTCATTTGCAACCCTAACTTTAGGAGTAGCCTCAAATAGTTGAAAAGTAAAGAGTGCAGCGGCTGAATATTGAAATAATCGGGGCTGGAGTTTGAGATTTGATAGTAGAGAAGTAGAACGATCAAGGAGAAAAGAAATGGAATAAGACACCAACATGTCTATGCATCACTCCTAGAGAAGGTCTCACACCCTCATAATTTGTGAACGCAAGGAAATTTCATAGGATATTGGATTATTTATTTATTCACCGATTCAACTAAGATTAAAACCATTCGTTTGTAGGATTTTTATTCATGCATCGTAGACTTACATGGAGGTTAAGTCATGCTGTCATGGCTTTTGAATTTACCTCATAATTGACTTAATAACATAACTAAAAGCAAATAAAAGCCGACTTAATTGCATCATAATGCCCACCAAACTCATAAATGATGCAACTTGACCAAAGCCACCGATTATTAACAATCCAAGTGGACCCCACATCATCTATTTTTTTTCATAATTAACCCCACCACCACCACCCCCAACACCCCCCCCCCCCCCCCCCCCCAACACACACACACATCATCTAGCATGTGCCAAATTAAGGATTGAGTCTTAGAATCCTCTATTCAATGCCTATTATGCACCTTTAACGACTGTTGCCAATCACATTGTCATCTCAATAAATTACTTAAAATTATGGATATATGTAGCTTTGACAACTATGGCGTGTAGTGTGTGTCTGTATCAAATATGATTAACTAAACATGATAATAACAAATTTTAATACCCAAAAATAAACCACACTAGCCAAGATGAGAGAGCCTTAAAAATCAAATTAATTGAACAACTAGGCCAAAACTCCTTAAATCAATGGAATAATTTTTATAATGGAAAGTCAAGTTAAGCATCAGTCATATTTGAAATAGTAAAGCTGCAAGCTCACTCTCATTAATCTTGTTCATTATTTCTTCGTCTTCCTCTAATCATTAAATTCAAGGCAGTATTATTCACACTTGATACCTATAGAGGAATCAGAAAATTATTCCACCAACTAAATTGTCTCTAAATGCTTCAATTAAACCATTTTTTTTTTTTATCACAATTTATCATAGAATATAAGTTTTCTAGTAGATTGGAGAGAAATAAAAAAAAATAAAAAGCTTGTTCCAAATTGCTGACACAAAAAGCTTGTTCCAAATTGCCGACACTCTTGCTGTATTTTGAGCCTTGAACAATACTAAAGCCAGCCAAGTAGGAACTGAAATTTTGTAGTGGGACCCACACACACACACCTCACAATGCCCACTATGGAGCTCCAACCCTCACCTCTGAAAAAAGTTTATACAAAACATTTTTGCTTACGTGTCAAGCAGTGATGGCCCAGGACCATGTAATAAATTCTCACTTATACTCTTATAGGTTTTCTTCTAATAAAAGAAGTGAAACTTACCCCTCAAAAAAAAGTGTACTAGAGTAGAATACTACTTTTGGGAGGAATGTGAAGTGTGGGAAACTTCTAGTGACAATTGTGTGATTTTATAGTGCCAGAGTTCTGTGCAGTGCAAATATCCTGAGCTCTCACCTCTGGAATTAGACACTGCCAGGACACAAGGTAAAATCAAACAATTAAACATAAACACAAAAATTACCGAACGAAATTTTCACCTCAAATGCCGAAACAGAACCGCCGCCGTCGACCTGAATTTCGGAAACTGCCAACCAGAAAATAACGCGATCGGCAAGTACACATCCACCAGCACCACAGCCCTCACTTCCCCACAATCACCAACCACAACCCTAACCACCCTCGCAATTACATCCAAGCACTTGTTCATCACCAATGCATGAAGCTGATGAATCACACTCACACTACCGTTCACCATCCCAATTCTCCTCCATTTCTTCCTGGACGACACACTCTCTCTCTGTACACCACTCCCTCCCTCTGCGCTGCTGTTGCTTTTCCCCAATTCTGGAGTCGATTCACCTACACTGACCAGAGCTCTAGCGTTCGGATTGATCGAGGACAAGACGACGCCATTCTCGGACTTGAAACCGACCTCCGATCCGTCGCCAAAGATGTGACAACGAGTATTGAAGCCTAGGGTTTTGCGGAGATCGGTGGTCGGAGGGGGATTGACTGAAAGAACAGCACATAAGAAACCGCAGAGCTTGTGGTCCGAGATCGAATCGTCGTCCATTGTGAACTGCTGAATTGGAAGAGATTGATAAATTAGGGTTTCGAATCAGAATTTAGGGTTCGAAGCTCTGATAAATCTTGCACCATTGGGAATTGAGGGGAGAGGTTCCAAAATTCGAAAACAATGATACGATACAGAGACCATGAGAGAGAGAGAGAGAGCTCGTGTGGGAGGTGTGTAAGGAATGGGATTCTTATTTAGGTAGAGGGACCCACCGAAACGTGGGCACTGCCATGACAAACGGGTGGGTTTTAATTGAGTCAAAACGAGTCGGTCAATACTCAATAGTATAGCACCATTAATCCATTAATATGTCTTCTGAAATCTCATTTGATGACGATGTTATATAAAGGATGTTTAGTATCTTATTTGATATAACTTTTGCCTTTTTTTTTTGTTCTTTTCTTTCAACCTTTTTAAAATGACATTATTATCCCTTTTATGGTATGAAATTTTGTATTTAGAAAAAAAATAAAATAAAAAAATATATATATATGCTCTCACCGACCACCGCCCACTCCTCTCCCTCTCTAAGTCAGTTTTGCATTGCTGGCGTCTAGAGGTATATAGAGAATTTTAGACTTGTGTAAAATTATGTAGATATATGAAAACAGTGTATTGGTGTGTAAAATTATGTAGATATATGAAAACAGTGTATTGGTCTAGAGTTGTATGGAGGATTCGAAGGGTAGATAAGTTACCAGAAATTTCTGGAGGAACGAGTATGATTGAATGCATCTAGTTGTCCATAAAGGGAAGGTTATAAATATGGAGTGAGGGTTCATTCGTAGACACCAAGCCTTAGTTTTTGAGTTTAGAACTTGATAACTAGTTTTGTATAAATTATTCTTACGGGAATTAGGCTGACCAAACTATGCTAAAAATGATTTTTCTGTTCCCGTCTTTGACTTCTCAATTTCCTGTTTCACTTGCAATAATACGAAGGTATCTTTCACAACAACAATTTCTAATCATGCAAAGATTTTAGCCCAAGAGCCCTGTACGATGAATTGACCTTTCATTTTGTTGATCGACTTTGTGCTAGTACACATGGGAAAATGGTAAGGAGCAACGAAGATGCCAGAATTCGAACGTAATGTTTGAAAGATGATTAAAAAAATAAATTAATTAAATAAAAAATAACTTTTCAGTTTTCCTCTATTTTCACTCACTCCCTCAAATGTCCCTCTCTCTCTGCCTGCGTCGCACGTCATCTCTCTTCTCAAAAATAAAGTTAGTGCAAATAATTTATTAAATTAATTACTGACGGATCATAATTGCACTAAACTTTGAACCGAATTGTTAAATTTTTATGTTTATTTCACAATAGAGAGGTCGCCATTTCCCTAAAAAAATTTCATTATCTTTGACAGTTTTACTCTTTTCAGTAGAATTGTTCACTTTTGTCACTAGTAAAAGATCGCATGAAATGCAAGTAATTAGTAAAATTTTAAATAAAAAATATTTTATATAACAATATAATATATATAATTTTTTTTAACCTAGATAATAATATATGCAATTATCATCCAAATTATAGAGTCCGTTTGGTTAGATGGAAATCAATGTTGAAAAGTGAAAATAAAAGAAAATAAATTTTATAGGATTCATTTGGTTAGCATGAATTTTTTTCAAAAAACTTGTAAGAAAATTTCATTTCATAATCTGAATAACATGAAATTTAATATAAAATATTATGAATCCTATAATTCATGCAAACCAAATAAATCCTATAATTAGAATATACGTTGTCACGTGCACATTGTGCACAGCTACGTGGCGTCTGGCGTATCAACAGATGATCTTGCTTATATGGCCTCAAGCAAGTTTAATTCGTCCTCTTTAGCCATCCCAAACACATACAATATATATCTATTACGCCATTATACAAGATGTGCACAATGTACACGTGACAACGTATATTCTATTTATTCTAATGTACGGTGCAAGCCAAAGATTTAAGTTGATGAGACAACGGTGAGCTCTCATAGCAAAGACTTACCTCGTCCAGCAATGCAATAGCGTTCAGAAATTTTCCGGTCTTGACTGCTTTATAGATTTTCTTGTATTCTGCTCTTATCTACTCATAATGAAAAGGGGATGTCCTTAAAGCTTTTCAGAACATTTAGTCTATGTGACAGTGAATGTGTGCTAGTACAAGTGGGAAGACGAAAAAGTGGCAATGAGCAATGCCAGAATACTCGAACGTACTGTTTGAAAGATGACAAAAAAAAATAATAATAATAATAATAATAATAATAATTAAATTAAAAAAACAACTTTTCAATTTTTCCTTTATTTTCACTCACTCCCTAAAATGCCCCTCTCTTTGTCTGCATCTCTCCTCTCTTTCCCCTCTTCTCTCGTGTCATCTCTCTTATCAAAAATAAAGTTAGTGCACATACTTTATTAAATTAATTACTAACGGATCATAATTGCACTAAATTTTAAACCGAATTGTTAAACTTTTATATTTATTTCACAATAGAGGGTCGCCAATTCTCTGAAAAAATTTCATTATCTTAGACAATTTTGCTCTTTTCAGGACAATTGTTCACTTTCACCTTTTTGTCACTAGTAAAAGATCGCATGAAATGCAAGTAATTACTAAAATTTTAAATTGTAAAAAATCTTTTATATAACAATATAATATATATAATTTTTTTTTTAACCTGGATAATAATATATGCAATTATCATCCAAATTATAGGGTCCGTTTGTTTAGATGGAAATCAATGTTGGAAGTGAAAATAAAAGAAAGTGAATTGAAAGAAAATAAAATAAATTTTATAGGATTCATTTGGTTAGCATAAATTATTTTCAAAAAACTTGTGAGAAAATCTCATTTCATGATTTGGATAACATAAAAATTAATAGAAAATATTATGATTTTCCTAAATTGTCCATTTCTTATTAGATATGACAATAGTCTAAATAAATTTATATTTAATAATTATTTTTATTTTTAAAAAGTAAAAACAATATAAGAATCTAAATGGTAATAAAATTTTATGATATACTGGTAGATATAGGTAATTATTATAATATTCTTACTAAAAATCATGTGTAAACCCAATTTATTTTAGAAAGTGAAAAAAGTTATAATTGAAATTTCATATAGTTTGATCCAAAAAGCAAATTTTTTTTGGGGAAAATTTTGTAAGAAAGTTGAGTCGTTATGGAAAATTAATTACTTTCCCATAAAATTTTCCTTTTCTTGCTAAGAAAAATAAAAAAAAAAAAAAATTCTTTTTCTTTATTGTTATTTTTTCCATATTACCAAACTAAGCCATAAGCAAAAACAAGCTATTTCCCGAAAATAACAATAATATTAATAATAATAATGTGCAGAGCATCAACTCCCTTATTGAAAATCATGGTAGCACATGGTATCCTTTTCTTTTCATATACTGTAATTTTTTAAAATATTTAAATTGTATTATTAAACACATTCAAGAAAATGAAAATCAAGTGATGTAATCAAGTTGAACAGCAGGTCTGAGAAACGCCCCGACCTCTTAAATTTTCTTTGATATATATGCCTCTTTGGAGATCAATTAAAATTGTAATGAAAATGAGTTCAAAGCTATAATATTGTGTCATCATGCACATGCATATTGTGTCCTGGCGGATCCAAGGGGGCGCTTGGGTGGGCTTGAGCCCCCCCAATTTTTTTTTTAGTATAGGTATATTTAGCCCAATATTTTAAAAAAGAAAAAATTAGTAGTAGTATTAGTCCCCCAATTTTAACCCATTCAAACAAGCCTGATATCTAAGCCACAATTTTTAAACAAAGGCCCAACCAAATAGGCCCAAGCCAAACAAGTCCTAAACAATCACTAAACCAAAGCAAAGAGAATTTCTAAATTCCTAATCTTGCATAAATCAGAGAGCTCACTTATTCTCTCCCTCTAAAGTCTAACCCTATTTCCTTTAAAATTTTATAACTCTTTAATCTTTCGATCCCCAATTTCCCCTTATTTAATATTAGCCCCCCCATTAACAATTCCTGGATTCGCCCTTGATTGTGTCGTTATGCACATGCATGCATATTGTGTAATCCAATGGACAAAATTTTATGGTCAATTGGGTAGCAGGAAAAAGTAAAAGGAAGGAAAGGAAGGAACAAGAAGGAAATGGATTAATAAGGTTTCTATCTTCATATGAGAGTACTTTGAAGGGAAAAAATAATTGAACTTTGATTATATGAATCAAAGGTCACTTTAAATTTCGATTTCCTTTTGCACCGACTGGCATTCTTTGATTATTGCAGTATGAATAGGATATCAAATGTCACTGTAAATTATTTTTCTGTCAAATCTTAAATCCAATTCTTTCTTTTTCTGTTGGCTATAACTGAGTACCTGAAATTGTTGAACTGCAATACAGGCTGCCATTTCTTTCTAATAGTACACGCATTCCTTTCTGTTATTGATTATGTTCTACTGTTCATGTTTTTTTTTTTTTTTTTTTTGGTTGGTACTACAGATAGGTTTTCTTTTCATATATCCATTAAAAATGAAGGCAGGGTATTTTTTTTTTTTTTTTTTCATGGCAAAGACGACCACAACACAAGGAACCAAAAACAACTAAGATTGAAAATCCGCCACCGCAAAAGGGAGGATGGAAGGAGCAAGAGAAGACAACAGCTGATCTGACACCAGCCCAGGGCGCGAAAGAGATGCCAATGCATGAGCCACCCGATTACTCTGTCGACACACATGAGTCAACGTAGAAGATGAAAACCGTTGCAAGTCCCGAGAAATGTCAAAACAAATAGAGGCAATTTTCGATGGATAAGTCACTCCACAATGCACCCCAATCATAACAACTTTTGCATCTGATTTAAACCATAAGCAAGAGAAACTCAAAACAAGAGCACAAAGAATCGCACGCTGACACACCAATGCTTCTGCTTCCAAAGCTGAAACAGTAGAAAAGTCAAGAAAAATAACCGCGCAAAGCACTGCACCATGAAAATCACGAAAAACAGCGGCACCACCCCCTTGCAAAGACTGCCGAGAAAAAGAAGCATCAAAATTGGACTTAACAATTCAGAGGACTCCACGAATCCACCAACGCACTAGCCAGCCCTAGCTGCACTGAAGAACAGAGGGACCGAGCGTCATGAAACTCCCAAAACTGATGACAGCCTTCTGCACCACAACCTCAG